AGAGAGAGAGAGAGAGAGAGAGAGAGAGAGAGAGAGAGAGAGCGAGAGAGAGAGAGAAGGAGAGATGCACCGTCTCACGTCGATGCACTCCCAGCTACGCACACTCCACACATGCACAGGAAGCACGTATCTCTTCTCACCTCAGCAGGTCCTGCGGGAAAGAATAGATACGCGCCAGGCTTGTGTCCTGGACGGATGACGGTACCGTACACGAGAAATTTCAACGCCACGTTGGTGGTGGTCTGTGAAGACTTGGTGAAGATACTCTGTTATACAAGAAAGAGGAATTAGAAGGTGCAGATCTGGACTAGACGCAGAATTTAAAACTTAGGAAGCTAGCAAATCGTAGATAAGTGGCCTATTGTTCTTACCGTGGAACTTTAAACCACCAGTAACGCTCACACAATGAATGCTAGAATGTCAAATCATTGAAATCAGCAATCTACGGACACACGATCATACCCAATAAGACGAGAAAGAATCATTTTTTCTGTATTTAGGCGAGACCAAAATAAAATCGAGATTCCCGGGCAGGACCCATCTGAAATTGGTGCGGGCGGGCGAATTTTTATTTTTCATTTATTTTTCCTATGTGTGTATGCATGGCATGTTGAGCTTTTTTTACAGTATTTTCCGGTATTTTTTTTACAGACGACAGGTACGTGGTTTACCGGTACCCGTACAATTTCTTTTGTATTTCGGCCAACGACAGCCCTGAGTCCTACACCAGGGAGTCGTACAAGCCCAGTTTTGTGTGACACCATGTCACAGTCTACTCGCACGATCAGTACTGTACAAAATACGAACTGTTCAAAAAAAAAAAAATTGCCTTCGGCTCGATTTTGGTGCGGGAGGGCCCGCTAATCTCTATTTTTTTGGTCTCGCCTTATACCTACATGATCCCAAACACAAAGTGTGCATGTCCTCCCATGTTGTCTGATGTGTGGTGGCCGTGTACAGGTGGTCTCTTACTCTCCGTATCCAGAGTCATGTGACCGGCAGCAATAACATGCCTTGGTCGGTCCTGGTTGTAGTGGTCTTCAAGGACAGGTGGTCACCTTGACAGGCTCTACTGTACATGTATGTGCAGGACTTGGCGAGGGGTGTAAACTGTCAAGCACAACCTATATCAAGATTATGGATAAGCAGCAGGTCTACAGTCCATTTCAAAACTATAGACGCGTACCTAGGCAAAAACCGTTATGCCAGCATCTATGCCACATAAAATCTGTGATCACTTTGTGCATAATTTTTTCCAAACTGGGCGTCTGTTATCCAATCGTTTAGAAACTATATGAGAGTAATTGTGGAGCGGACCTGAGCAATATTGCGAAAACTATTCTCAAAAAGTTCCAGCCAAATTTGAAATATTTCAAAAACCCGACGCGTCTATAGTTTTGAAATGGACTGTAAGACGTTACGGATTTGCATTCCCTCCCCCGCGCTCCCAGACCCGTTCAGTACCACGACAATAACGCAACACCTGCAAAAGTTACAATCCTTGAAACCTGTTTCCACTTTCAAAATTTCAAACATGTTAACGATGTCCTAAACAAAAGGTAGACCAGAATCCCATAGCATAGAATAGCCATCCACTGGAAGAGGGTGAATGCCATGCACTCAGAGAGGGTGAATGTCATCCACTCAGAGAGGGTGAATGCGCTGCACTGGGAGAGGGTGAATACCATCCACTCAGAGAAGGCAAGTGCCATCCACTCACAGAGGGTGGATGCCATCCACTCAGAGAGGGCGAATGCCATCCACTCAGAGAGGGTGAATACCATCCACTCAGAGAGGGTGAATACCATCCACTTAGAGAGGGTGAATGCCATCCACTGGCAGGGGGTGAATGCCATGCACTCAGAGAGGGTGAATGCCATGCACTCAGAGAGGGCGAATGCCATCCACTTAGAGAGGGTGAATGCCATCCACTCAGAGAGGGTAAATGCCAACCACTCAGAGAGGGTAAATGCCAACCACTGACAGAGGGGGAATGTCCTTCAGTCAGAGAGGGTGAATGCCACCCACAGGGAGAGGGTGAGTATCATCCACTGGGAGGGTGAATGCCATCCACATTGTGTTAGCTACAGGAAAAGAAGTACGTAAATTACCACGAGAGCCCCCACCAACTTGTCCTTTCCCTTTCGTGGATGTGCTGTGGAGGTGGTGTCCTGTCTGTAGGCCATACAACACGGACCTTATACACACACAGCGCACACTTTGAAGTCAGGTTGTACCTAGTTCACCTTTGCAACTCCACACAAGAACATGCTAAGTGTGACCTTAGTACACTAAGGTTCTCGCACCGTACAAACTTATTAGTTGCACTCTGCCATACTACTTTCCTTTCCCTGGCTGTAAAATCAAGGTGGAGCGCTCTCGCGGTACTTTACGGTATACACATGCGGCAATGCACAAGCTAACAAAAACACGTTTTTTGGAAGAGAGCCGTGGGGCAGTACACACCACACACCACACACATACACGCACACACACGCGCACACACACACATCGCGCACACACACACATCGCACACACACACACATCGCACACACATCGTATACACACGGACGGATGTGCACACGCTCACACAGCAGTTATTCCAAGAGGATGTCGTTCAAAGGGAAGCGTGTTTACCTTGAGCATGCCCTTGGTGTCAAAGTCCAGTTTGTACTGCGAGTTTTCGACGGAGAACGCACTTGCACTGCCGGCATTCACGTTGAACTCCCTGAAAACATCGGCAATTGGCAGTCCGGCCAACAATAGAAGAACAGAGGAAGAGAGGGCAATGAATTTTATACAGTACGAAATTGCTAGTACATGTACAGTCAACTTCGCTAATAACGACAATTCGCGAATAACGACAGGATTTCCATGCCCAGAGCAAAATCCCGTCCAACTGTAATACATATAATGAGATTTCGGGTAGAAGGACACCTCGCGAATAAGGACACTTTTCTGATGCCCCACCGAGTGTCGTTACACGCAAAGTTGACTGTATCCCGTATGTTGATGACGAGATGGCTGAAGGCTGTGATGCTGCAATGGTATTGCTGGCGTTCCAGTGCAACGCAATCGTCTCACACATGCCTTTGTACAAGTGATGTGAATAGAAGCCTAGCCCTGACATCGGCTTCTAAAGGAACACACCCCGGTTTTAATATGCAATATAACATAATGGTACTTACGGATTGCTCTTGGTAGAGGAGAGAAGTGTGGTGGAAGCCAGGCTGGCGGCTGTGGACGTCTTGCGCAGTAGCAGAGATGTGACACCTAGCGGTAGAGCGAAGACCTTGATCAATATCTGAGTGTGGGAATACAAGAAAGAGACGGAAGCGGTGGCATCTTATCTCAGAGGGTTGAGGTGATTTTCATTGCACAGTTCAGCACCCTAGCTCCAGTCCTAGCCAGAACAGAAGTGGCCATCGCCCACTCCATGCACCAGCCGTGGCGAGGCGAATACAAGGACTGCGTGCCAGGGCCAGAAAGGCATGAGTAACACAGTTCTCACACCTATAGTGTACAGAGGCAATCAGTAGCCCCCTGTAATACAAGGGCACTTCAGTATAACATACCCTGGATAGAACATACTTGTCACTTTGCTGAACTCGGGTACTGAGCCAATAGAAAATGTTTAAAAAAAATGAAAAAGCCCATGTGTCCTTTCATATTATTTTAATACGAAGAACACATGCTTTTTTTCTTCAAAAGTGCAGCGACAGTTCAGATTACTATGGATATAACATACTTTTTCACATTGTACTTTGTAGAGGACGCCGTGCATCCTTTCTCAATCATTAGACCTTGGATGTAGAGCACACTGTACCTTGACTGTAAAGTACAGATGTTTACGTCACCGGGAGGGTATGCTATACTGAATTCCACTGTACATACACACACACGCACGCACGCGCGCACACACACACACCCACACACCTACGCACACACACGTGCGCACACGCACACACACACAACGTGCAGAAGTGCATGCGCTCACCTCAAAGTTGATCTTGTCAGGCTCGTCGGCCGTTTGCCAGGACGGGCTCAGCTGGAACGGGACTGGTTTCAGGTCGGAATTGACCACCTGCAATGACAGCAGAGACATTCACTCAGTGAAGACCAGGGCAAAAGGCACCCGTACAAGACAGGTATATGTGCCTCGTAGATTCAAGCCACTTGCCTATGTCCAGCTACAGGGGGCACCCAAGATGACACACTACCGAGAATAAGTGTGCATATGGCATGCAGTGCTTCAGAGATATGCAAAGTGCTGCTCAATGAAATCCAATTGTGTGAGTCAAGTATGCGCTGGGCGCTGTGCAGCACTAGATCTGCAAACACTGCGATTGTTCACTGGTGCAGGGCGCTAAATCTCCTCACACGACCAGATTTCATTGAGCAGCCCTGTAATCCAAGCACAGAACGACAGGAAACCCCCCAAAAAGGAGTCTCGGGGGAAGAAGAGGCGCGCATGCCACGAATTGCATGCAAGCACTTACTTCGATATTTCTGTCGTTGACCAGCAGGCGGACAACGGAGGTGCGTGCCCGCGCCAGAGGATTGTAAATAGTGACAAGCCTGAATTAGTGAACCATATGAGAAAAGAAAGCAGGGGAAAATGGAAACACATTTTTTAAGGAAATTCGGGGATATGATAGTCAGCTTGACTGGCACATCATGACATACCGGTAGATCCACCATGAAAGTGCACTGGGCACAGCTATATCACAGCAACAATAAACAAACAGAATGTCCTGCTATGCGGTGTGTAAGGATACGCAGGGCCAGTGGTTAGACAGTCAAACGCTCTTACCGCGGTGCACTGGCCATATCAATGACCGTCAGCGTTTCGAGTGAGTCATGGGCTGGACGAGCGGAAGTCTACAAACCGCGCATGCATGCGAGCACAAACACACACACACACACACGCACACACACGCACACACACACACACGCGCACACACACACACACGCACACACACACACGTACACACACACGCGCACACACACACACGCGCGCACCAGTTACATGTACTCTTTTCACTTCTAGAGAAGTGAAGTTCTGGTACAAGACATCAGTGAAGTACAATCAGATGAATATTAACCCTTTCAGTACCAAGGATCGGACGAGATAACTCGTCCTGAAACAACCACCCTGAATGGCCAAGGACGAGATAACTCGTCCTGAAACAACCACCCTGAATGGCCAAGGACGAGATAACTCGTCCTGAAACAACCACCACGAATGGCCAAGGACGAGATAACTCGTCACGCACACGGAGCATATAGAAACGAGCATAGACCACTGTACAAACAGCTATAACTTTGGCCTCCCTACTTCAAATTCAACAATGACGGCTCATTGGAAAGCTATTGAACGCAGCTTTCCAACGATGTATCATATGATAAAGCGCGAAGTAAAATACTCAAGCTGAAGCTCGAAGTTCGGGAAACGGGTGCAGTTGAAATTTCAAGCGTGTGACTGTGACACACTGCATGTTACAGTTGACAAGGTGTTTGATTACGGGGAATTTTCCCAGTGCACAGCCCATGCGTGACATACACCAAACTCAGTGCTAGAACAGCCTGATTCTGCTGGTGTTTGAATCATCGCTGTATGTTGAGTATGAGCTGCAAATCGAAAGAAATTGTCGCTGAGTGTAGAAAAGCACTTCAGTGGCGCATTGAAGTAGCTTTCGAAGTGTTTGTAGGCTGTTCTCCTGCGCCTACAGAGCACTGAGCACCATGGATCGACAGGGGAGACCCTCAGCTTTCCAGAGAGCCTAAGATGATGAGAATCCGTTACTGGTGAGTGAAATGGCAATATTTTCAGTGCCCAGTGGGAATATTGCGTGTAGTGCCAGCCCGCGTGCCAGCCAACCGTGTAGTAAGTGCTCTGGCACTGAAAGGGTTAAATAATGCCTTTTTCGATTAAAATTAAAGGTCACATCAAAACAAAACTATCACCATGCATACTCAGTTATTCCACGTGACAAGACTAGAACTGACCTCAGATAGGGTGACCTTCACAGCGGCCTTGGCCTGCAGGAAGGCAGACACTGCGTTGCGCATCATACCCATCAGACCATGATAGGCATTGATTAACCTATTCAAACACGCACGCGCACATAAACATACACATTACACACATTATCGGCGGACCACCACTTATACAACCAAGCGCAAAATGGAAAGTCAAGCCATGCCTCGCCAGCATGTGTTCAACTACATACAACATTATTTAAATCACACAACCAAGTACAAATTGGAAGGTCAAGCCATGCGCCCGTCAGCCTGTGTGTTCGGCTGCCAGCAGGTCTCACTCACTTTTTTCCGTAGTCGACGACTACCTCCATACGCGCCGTCCCTGTGATGCCGTCATGGTGCTGGAAGAGACCAACGGTGCGCCGCGCCTGTACCAGGTCGGAGAATGCAGCACCGCTGTCAAACTCCACCTTGCCAGACGTCTGCGCCACCAGGGCGTGAGAGACGGAGAAGAGCAGCTCGGACGCCCTGCGCACGAGAATGGCGATCGAACACAAGACACACATGCAACGCACATGCAAACACACACACACACACGCACGCACACACACACACCACATACATGCATACACGCACACACCCACACACAAGCATGCAATTAACAACTGCAACTGCAAACCATATCCATCAGTTCATACTGTGGCATGGCCCATTTCCCTCTACATGTTGCTATGAGCACAAAGCAGTAGCTACACAGTAAATATGAACAAAGTCCATGTACACGCTTAAAGTGGATAAAGGGTGACTTCACAAACCTGAGTGTGGTTTCGAGAACCCGGTCCAGATTCTTGTAGAACGGTCGTGACGTGAAATACCCGCTCCAGTAGTCATCATTACTGCAATGTACGGGAAAACACACATACACATGCAGGGTACACTGCACTACGTGTTTGACTCTAGATACGAAAAAACCTGTGATAAGAGATCACCTGCCCCATGAGACCGGTCATTTCAGGATCTAGACCATGTTGCTACAGTGTATATACATACGAATCTGTGCTGAAAGACCACCTGCTTTATGAGACCCGACATTTTAGGACCTACTGTAAAGTGACAAACTTTGGCGGCGCGCAAATTTAGCGCAAATTTAGCGTTTTCATAAATTGGGCTGGTTCACGATGAGACTTTTGCGATTCTATCTCTTCAGTCGGATCTTGTACTGTCTAAAATCAATGTACGGAGAGGTTTGCGACGATTTATATTCGCGAATGTGTGATGGTCGCGAAAATAGCGAAATTTTCTCACTTTACTGAAAGACCACCTGCCTGTAAAGACTGATATTCCGGGCAACATGGAGTGCTAGGCTAACAAAAGTTCCACTCCTACTCCCTTTTCATCATCCGCCGACGAGGGAGCCCGAAACACAAGCTAGGGGGCTGGAAGTACAGGCCACATGCCACAGGGGCAATTCAAAACCAGCACATGGACAGGCAGCCACTCTAGAGCAATGTTACATGCAAAAAAAAGAAAAAAAGAAAAAAAAAGAAGAACAACAAAAGGTCTGGCCGCCCAGGTCCCGTCACTCACCGATCGGTGTACGTGAAGAAATCACCGCCGACAGACGGGAAGTCCTTCGGAAGGCCACTGGCATCTTTGCCTGCAGCACAACAGAGATTATGATCACGAGAGAAATAACAAAATTAGGGTATCTTCGACATGACCTTTGAATGGAAGTTGATTCCAACTCCAAGAGCGAGTCTGGTCGAAAACGGGGAAAGCGTTTCCAACAAATGGCTAGTTTTCGCGAGGGGAGAACAACATTTTTTAATACACCGAACAAACACTAACACACATAATCCAATAGGGAACTGCTTCTCTGTACCTAAATTTTCTGTTCACCTAACCTGGCCTTTTGCCCTCATACCGAAAATTTCTGAAACTTGAGTACTCATTTCCCTCACTCTGATGATTCTTGAAACAATGAAACCGGTCGGTCAATCTATCGAGTAACTGTTGTCTTGGGGTGTAGGGGGTTCTATTTTCCAAAGAACTTGTGCATTTCTCTATGGAGCAATACTCCGGCAAACGATACTATCCGGAAGGTCGAGGCTGGTGTGACGGTCGAGAGAAAAGCTGGAAGTGGCGCTGAGCTGCCCACACTACAAAGTAGGCCCTGACGGACTGCAGGATTCCATTGAGCAGCGCTGTACTGTATCGGGATTCAACTGAGATTCAACGTGAACTGATTCAAGCTGCAGGGTATCGATGGCCACTCCAACCCCATACACCCCCCCCCCCCCCCCCCCCACACACACACACATACACCTACACACACACCTATACCGACAACAACCTAGTTACAAGTAGTATGATGCAGCAAAGACTAAGAGAATGCAGTACGGGAGGTCAACCAACGACACAGCCGCAATACAGTGATTGATATCAGTGCACTGACCCGCTCTCTTGATCAGCTCATTGTAGTAATCACTCAGAGTACCAAATTGAACCTGTGCACACACACACACACACACACACACACACACACACACACACACACACACAGACACACACACACACACAGACACACACAGACACACACGTGCACACAAACAGTTCCAAAAACAAGAGAACCCATTGTCTGTCTTTAAAAAAATTGGAAACTGGTACATGCCTGATAAAGTCAGTAGGTACAAGAAGAAAGCAATTTTTCTTCAGACTTTTCCCATTTTGCACCTTTCCCTCAAACCAAAGTATACTTGTAGCTACATGCATATGCAGATATGAACTATGAATGCTACCACAACACAGCATAGACAAGGGAGAGTAAGCAGATCTTGAAGGAAACATGCATCTATGAGGCACAAGCACATATACATACAATGTAATTACATTACCTTTGCCTTCAGTCGAGGTGTGTTATTGATGTACGTCATAAGAGCCTATATGCACAAAGGCACACACGGATGCACACACAGATGCACGGACGGATGCAAGCACGGATGCACGCACGCACACACACACGTACACGTCACACACACACAGAGTTGTCCACAGTCTGCCACTGCTACAAGACATGGCCTGCAATCCACAATGCTGCATGAAATACATCCCCTAACTATGTGATCCGTCTGCACACTGTCCTCACTCGAGATCCTAAATCAAGAATGAAGAGCAGTCACCCTAATCTCTCGCACATAAAAACTGTTACGTTATGATACACAATTGAAAATCAAATCTCAGTCCCGTGATAGGTGTGCTTTCTCACGTATTGACATGCAAAGTGCATTTTTCTTCTTTAAGACCCGCGGGTTTTGTACATAGATTGCGCGGCCAAGCCAAGTGGAGACGACGTACAGGTACATGCTCAATGTGCCAGATGCGGCATACACGACTTGCTTCACAACATGAGCGCGGCAGTATGAGCTTTAGTTTGTTTCGTAGGTGGCTGAAAGCAAATCGTTCTCTCTTACTTAGTGTTAAACATGTGACTTAGCAACATTAGCTGTTCTGGACCTACCCAGCATACAGTGTTACCTGTCTGCGGCGACCGCTCAAGGGACCTTCAAAATGTGGTCGCTGTGTACAGGTGGCCTCCTTATCCAGGGTCATTCGACTGGAAATAGTATACCTCGGTAGTATTGTAGTGGTCCTCTGCGGCAGGTGGTCGCCTTATCAGAGTGGTCACCTTGACAGGTTCTACTGTACAGTGAAACCTGTCAAGGCGGCCACTCTGATAAGGCGACCACCTGTGCCAGAAGACCACTACAACGAGGACCAAGAGATGCTATTTCCAGTCACATGACCCTGGATAAGGAGACCACCTGTGCACGGAGGACCACATTTGTTAAGTCCCTTGAGCGGTCGCCGCAGACAGGTTACACAGCATTCAGATTCACAAACCTGAAGCAAGTCAAGGGTAACAACACAACACAACACAAGACACAAGGTGACTACACACACCTCATAGTTGTTGAACTGGTTCTGCGCGTCCATGACCAGGTCATAGCGGAAGTCATCGCCTAGGGGAATTAGCAGCACGTTGGTGCGGAACAGCCGAGACTTCTTGCGGTACTGGTCCAGCAGCATTTCTGCTCTGTCACCAGTAGCGCACGCACGCACACACACACACGCACACACACACACACATGTGCACACACACACACACACACACACACACAACGCAAGACGCGGGAAGAAACACGTCCAGAATAACATGAAGGCAGAGCAATAGCATCGTGATTCATGACGGCCTGCTACTAGCATGTAGTAGTACGAGTATAAAGGCCGATTCATACTTCATTTCGCGTATGGGAAAATCATCGCGCGACCGTCCCGCGATGGCTTTCCCGTACGCGAAATAGTTGAGCTCAGATCAACTTTTTCGCGACGCGTTTCCCATACGCGAAATGAAGTGTGAATCGGCCTTAAAGAGCCATGACTAAGATCACAGGGCAAACTGAAGGCAACAAACACATACCCATAGGAATATGGGACACATACAGACACACACAGACACACACACAGACACACACATACTAAAACAAACACTCGCACACACACATACACATACACACACACACTCTGTCTGTCTCTGTCTGTCTCTCGCTGTCTATCTCTCTCTCTCACACACACACACACACACCTACCTAGCCTCCACATTCCCATCGTTGATTGGAACTGGGTTGATACGCCAGGGACACGTCAACTTTCCACCAGCTAAGCGCCGGAAATCAAACTGACAGCAAACCTAGAAAGGAAGCAAAGGAAGCCAAGACATGTAAGACAAGATCAGAAAAATCACCCTGAAACATAACTTGCCGGATAGGATAGAGCCATTGCATTGATGTCTCTCGCCTGCAGCTTTTACAACATAAACATAGCAGCAATGATACACAATGTATATACAAGTCATAGTGTCTGCACTGGACCGAACGATGAGCGGAGATTCGGCCTAGGAAAACACTGCAGGGGCAATCGGTTCAACCACAAATCTACTACTCTGCCAAGCGTGTGTGGAACTCCAGTGTAGCCTGGGTGACGCCACAATGGTGAACGTGAGAACAACTAGACTGGAGCAGACAACTCACGAGGCAAATACACAGGGAAAAAAGAGAAATCAGGATTGTCTACTTGACAAGACATGCTAACCTTGGGGTCGGGTCCACAGGTGTGAGGGACATCATAGGAATAGAACGGCATCATGTGCGTCAACATGTCCGTGTTGCCCTGGGTAGAGTCTGCACAAGCCGACACACACAAAGACGAGAGAGAGACAGAGGGAGAGGGAGAGGGAGAGGGAGAGGGAGAGAGAGAGAGAGAGAGAAAATGAAAGAGAACAGCAGCAGCAGCAGCAGCAGTGACAACAAACAAGAATCGACCATGAGTAAAGAAAGTCAAGCACAACCCAAACACCTGCTACAGGTAGTCTGCATGGTGGCTGTGATGAGACACTGCAGCCACTCAGCAGGTGACAAGGTTGAACTGACCAATGAACAGGTGAAAACCTTGATCCATAGCACTAACACAGGCGAAGAAAAACAACGCGACACATGACACAGCACATAGCTCGTACAGCACACAGTGCATCATCAGCCGTGACAATACTGCAGTGAACATAACAGTCTGTCAGATTTTATCACCTCTCACATAGTGAACAACCCTTAGAGTTGTATCGCCTCTCACATAGTGAACAATGGCGCAGAGTCTAGCACAGTATCCAACTCACACCTACTGCCCACAGAGTCACACACGTATGCATGTACGTACGTGCACACGCACGCGCGCGCACACACACACACACACACTTTTTTTAAACTGGGGCTAAACAGGAGCCTATTAGAAGATAGACTCCTGCTTAGCCTGCCGGCTGTGTATGGCTTCTTCTTCGCCGAAAAGAACATGTGACTAAACCAGTGACGTGTCTGTGGAACCCCGCCATTGGACGGATGGCATTGCACAACATTTATGAATAGTGCAGTGGGAGATATAGACAAGACCCATGGCTTTGCAAACCTGATCTATAACCAGAGGTAGGCAAGAAACCAAATTGTAGAAGAAGAAGTTGGTTTCAGATCCACCAATCTGCACTTTGGGCAGCGTAAACCAGTCTAGAGTTTGTGAAACCCGGCCGAATGTTGTGTTCCTTTATGTATGACTTTCCCCGATCCCAAATTTTGATACACAATTGCACGACTATGTTGAAGAAGTTGGCCGGAAAATGCTGTGGAAAATCTCAAGGTTTCTATGGTTAGTCGGCAAAGCATTAGTACATTCAGACACTGAATGGACTGTACAGTAAAAACCTGGTTTAAGCGGCCACCTCACAGTGCAAGCAAAAGCTGTCGTTAACGCCACAGGTGGTTTTTAGAGCAAGGTGCCATACATCCCCGGCATATCGGATTGTGTACATACTTCCACCAAGAGTAGATAAACAAGAGTGTGCAACTCCGGATCTCTTCTGCACAATCTGCAGATACCCCCGCCCGCGGCGGAATTTTTTGTTGACGTTAGCCCTTGGCGGATTATGCCGGCATAATATTTGGCATAATCTTGGGATTTCGTCAAAAAATTATGCTCCGGCATAATATACGGATTCCAACGTGTAAGGTCGGCATAATCTTTCGGTTTAGACAAAAATTATGCTTAGGGCATAATACAGCTTTGTCAGAAAGCCCTGGGGCCGCGTGTGTATATGCGTGGTTTCTCAATCCTCTATGTACAGCGTGAATACACAGTGGAACCAAGCATAATTCAGCATATTTGTTGGCATAATTGTGGCATAATCAAAAGCATAATTTGACGATTGGCCGAGCATAGTCCGCCAATGGCTAGTTGACGTCACCTTTTTTCAGAAGAACGCGCATTTTGCCCCAGAGCAGTGTGAGAGCACGTGCTGGGCACCAACTTTGTAATGACAGCCCGGCCAAGTGCACGAGGCATAACTTTCCAAAAGACTCGCAGCGCGTGCATCGTCGAAAAGATTACGTCAACAAAAAAGTCCGCCGCGGGCCAACCCATATCCCGGAGTTGCACACTCTTGTTTATCTACTCTTGCTTCCACTGTATGTGATACACTGTACATGTACATGGTCCGCTGTATGTGATACACTGCACATGTACATGGTCCGCTGTATGTGATACACTGTACATGCATAATATGACCATGTGCATAGATGCCATGCTCACCCCAGGTCTGCTTCCAGCTGAACTCCAGGCTCTTTTGGCGCGCGAACTGCTTCTTGACAATGTAGTGGGTGCGCTGGATCAGCATGAAATCGAACTTCATGCGCTTCAGGATGTAGGCCATCGTCGGCGAGTGGCCAAACGGATCGATAGCCCAGCCACTGGACGGGATGATATTTTCTACACAAGACACGAAGCAAACAAACAGGATAGGCAATGAGCTATGAACTACATATCCAACTGAAAACTTTGCCAAAGCACCTCAACTGATGATGTAACCGCCTAAACTCCATATAGAGAGCTGCATGTGGAGTCTTCAAGCCATTACTCTACCTCACTGTTACGTGATTGTAAGCATGAGATGTTCGTGAAGCACAGTGAATACATGGTGGTGTGCACATTGCGCAGTGACTGTTGACTGGCTAGAGTATGGGCAACTCACCGCCAACGTTGTGCCGTATCCACTCGTGGCCCTCAATCATCTGGTCGATCATGGCAAAGTAGTGTGTGTTGGCCTCATCGTTCATCACCCACCCTCCCGTCACGATCTCCAGCTGCTTGTTTCGAACAAGCCTTCACAAGACACAAACAAAAGGAGATTAATCAGACACAGACACGATGAGCATGCATCCATAGGATATAATACAAGAATGGTCGGAGCATAATCCAGGGCTGTGAAGCTAACTGTCAGCATGACAAAGGAAGGGAGAGGGATAGAGAGAGAGAGAGAGAGAGAGAGAGAGAGAGAGAGAGTGTGTGTGTGTGTGTGTGTGTGTGTGTGTGTGTGTGTGTGTGTGTGTGTGTGTGTGTGTGTGTGTGTGTGTGTGTGTGTGTGTGTGAGAGAGAGAGAGAGAGAGAGAGAGAGAGAGAGAGAGAGAGAGAGAGAGAGAGAGAGAGAGAGAGAGAGAGAGAGAGAGAGAGAGAGAGAGAGAGAGAGAGAGAGAGAGAGAGAGAGAGAGAGAGAGAGAGAGAGAGAGAGAGAGAGAGAGAGAGAGAGAGAGAGAGAGAGAGAGAGAGAGAGAGAGAGAGAGAGAGAGAGAGAGAGAGAGAGAGAGAGAGAGAGAGAGAGAGAGAGAGAGAGAGAGAGAGAGAGCTGGAGACACAGAGAGACAGACAGACAGGCAGACAGACAGATAAAGACAGAACGAGAGAAAACGAGATGGATGTATGATGTAAGAGTGCAATTGCATGGGAAGCAAGAAGAGTGAACAAATAAATCATACTTGCGGAATTTCTCCTTCATATTGTCGCCTTGCTCATTCCACCACATGGACAAGTAGGACATCTCAGCCCAGATGAACTTCCTATCGCTCTTCTCCGAAAGAAAGTTAACAATATTATTCAAGATAGAGCGTGTCTGCGCTTCATAGTAGCCTTCAACAGTTTTCAGCCAGCCTGCGGGAAGGACGAATTAAAACAGAACATCACAATGTCACTTCACTCACACTCTCCCATACTTCTCACATATTGCAGGGATGAATTTATCCTGTATCGCATCGCAGTTTGCGATGCAAAATCGATCTACTGCTACTCAAAAGTCATCGTGACTCGCAGAAAACTGAGATACATACAAACTGTCTATGCCTAGCCTTTACTGTCAAGTAACATGCATACAGTGCAGTGTATGTGGTGCAGGCACTCTCAATCTGCGTGCACATGTATGATTCAGTCGTTTTTTTGCAAATGCGCTTTCAGGCATCATTCTCAAGAAGGACAATGCGGTAAACACCCAACCTTCAAAGAAAAATGCTCACCAAAATCAAAGGCTGCTACACAATTGTGATTTTGTATAGCAGAAACTGCTATGCAAAATTATGACAATAAATTCATCCCTGTATTGTGTTGTCTGCACGTTTATATTCTCATCACTTTCCTATTACACTGCAGTAGTTGACTTACATCTTTAGCACATTCGTTGCATACTTAGATGAATTTATATTTGCACTTCTTCAGAATAATTATAGTGATTGTTTCTCTGTTCCGACAGCCTGACACCTGGTGTATGCATACAAAACCATACAACTAGTGGGTAGAAAAGATGTTCTCTCTGTCTCTCTCTCTCTCTGTCTCTGTCTGTCTCTGTCTCTCTGTCTTTCTCTGTCTCTCTGTGTCGGTGTGTCTGTCTGTCCGTCTGTCTGTCTGTCTCTCTCTCTGTGTCTCTGTCTGTGTGTCTGTCTGACTCTCTGTCTCTCTCCTCACTGAAGTCTCAAGTAATGCAGGGGACACCACAGTAAGAATACCATACCTGGGTCGTTGTGAGAATGAGGGACAACAAACACGTGTAAGGGCTCCTTGTCGAAATCAGACATCGAGTATGATAATTCAAAACCCTGTTTCCATACGCCGCCATCGATATCTGCAAAGTCTTCTTTCTCAAGAAACTCATCCATCTGCAAAAAAAAGTGAGCACCAAAGGAGAGCAGCAGCAGCAACAACCAAGAATCAACCATGAGTAAAGAAAGTCAAGCACAACCCAAACACCTGCTACAGGTAGTCTGCATGGTGGCTGTGATGAGACACTGCAGCCACTCAGCAGGTGACAAGGTTGAACTGACCAATGAACAGGTGAAAACCTTGATCTATAACACTAACACAGGCGAAAAACAACGCGACACGTGACACAGCACATAGCTCGTACAGCACACGCAGTGCACCATCAGCCGAGATCATAATACAGCAGTGAATATGACAGTTTGTCACTTTGCCCGGCAGATTTTTATCGCCTCTCATCACAGACTGAACAACGGCGGCGCATAGTCTAACACAGTCAAACTCACGCCCTCTGCTCACAGAGTGACACCCATACACACACGCGCACGCACACACGCATGCGTGCGGGCACGCATACACACACACACGCACGCGCACACACACACACACACATGCACAAGGGAAAGGTGAGGGAAGAGAAAAGTGGCCATACATGTGCACAGATTGGCATCACAGCTCGAATCTACAACACACTAATAATGTGACAATGGCAAAAAGGCAGTGCAGGTTGCAATTCGGAGCTCCGTGGCATAAACAAAATCACCAGACAATGATACCAATAAGGAAACGGCAAACAGGCTTTTGTACCAATATCTTCGGATGCATGCATTTCCTGAACGGAGGGAATATTTCCTGTCCACAGCACCTACACTGCTCCGCAACATGGCTGCCAGTACTATCACCCCTATCAAGGTCAAGGTGAAAATGAAGTACATGTATGATATGATGCTATAGAGAGATGACAATCCCAATAGGCAATACTGTACAAGCAGAAATATTCGTCTGGAATTTAATTTCGTCTTTTTCGTGCTGGACTCATGTCGATTTGTCCAGCTTTTCAACACACTCTTATGATCCATGGACGAAATTTACAACCGGACGAACTCCCTTTCTTTGGAGTTGGACGAAATCATCGACCGACGAAATGTTCTGCCTGTACAGTACGCACCAACGCAGTCCAATACACTCATACATCGGTTATCTGGGCAGTCTGGCACCGGTGACCGGACACTGCCCGTAACTTTGAAAAGTCCATATCAAAACTCTGAATCACATACATTTTGATGGAGAAAGGCCATGGCATATGAAGTCATGATTAAGGGTGCCCGGTAGACCAAAGTACCCGTAACTTCGGTGGCCGGATAGCCGAGGCATGAGTGTACTCACCTTGATGCCGGTTTTAGACGGCATGGCATTCGTCACACTGCATACATCGCCACTGGCAACAGGCTGGACAAACTTGAATGTTGGGCGGCTAAGGGCGGGCATTGCCACTTCTCGCTTCTTGACCGCATCGTCCACTGCGCCAACGCCAGTGGGAGCACCTTGCTGCTGCTGCTGCTGCTGCTGCTGCTGGTCATGGCTTATCGACTGCTCCAGTGGACGAGTAGTCTCTTTGACCATAGCTGCCAGTTTGGGATTCTTGGCCATGGCGTGAGTCAGCTGCCGAGCCAAATCATTCTTCTCCTTTTCCAGCTCCTTGAAGTCCTTGTCAATGCTCTCGATGACTGTATTCAACTGCTGCTGCACCCACACACGCAGCAGAAAACAAGGATTTAATTAAACTGAACGTACAACTAATGCCACGGGATGTACAACAAAACAACATCGTGATGTCAGAGTCGAAATATGGAGACAGGCAGGGCATGCGATACGCCGAACGTAAATCTGCTGTGTTGTGTCAAATGCCAGGTAAAGTTGTCACATTTTCTAAAACATTTCTGGTAACAATTTTTTTACGGATGCGAAATAGACCAGCGGAACACATCCGGTACGCACTGTACCGCGTACACTTGCTTAGTGTAGTGTACTAGTGTGGGCATTGTCAAGAGCATGGGTACATTGCCCAATAGTGAAGTATGTTCGGATAAGAAGACAGTACCATGGGTATTACGGAGGACTAGCAAGACGAAATTCGCGTTCGCGTTCGCTCTCCAAGGAAAGTCGAACTCAGTGACGGAATTCGCGTTATGAGAAGGATTAGCAAACAGAATTCGCACATGCATGATGTTGACACGACGTACATTGTGTACAGACAGTACAGCATGGCAAATTTATGACTGCCCTGACACGAATCTGCGATTCGTGTTCCGACTACTTTTCCGAACGAAAAATGTGAAAGTTTGCAATCCAGTTCGCGAACTGAAAAATGTTTGCGAACGCGAATTTCGTCTTGCTAATCCTCCGTATTAACTATTTAATGCGTGCACTTTACTGCTCCCCTTGGAGCTACCTCTTATCATAGTTCCACTGTTGCTTGCTTGACTGGAGATCATGTTTAGCAAACAATAAAGCATATAAACTGTAGGGCATACTATAATACTGTAAATATACAAAATTTCGGCGCTGCAAAATTTCGGCACTTCACGAATTTTGACATTTCGGCGGCGATTTATTTTCGGCGTGGGGTAGAGGCGCTAGTATAGTGCGACAGATGCTGTGAAAAATTTCATCGGCGTTTTAATTTAGGCATTTTGGGTCGGTGCCGAATATAGCCGAAATTAAATAGCTGCCGAAAATTTGTATATTTACAGTAGCTGGTCCCCATTTTAGGGAGTGCACGGCCACTTATGTGTACGATGGCAAGTGCATACCATTCATGGTCATTTATATGTGCATGCTGAACCTGGGTCGAAATTTTTTGGGGGGGGGGGGGGTGCGCATTCACATTCAAAACAGCTCGGATAAGGCGACCACTCGCTCAACGCGACCGACGACCACCCGTCCGCGACCGCGTTGCACAGTGCTAGTACATGTAAATGTACGCATTGCATGGTAGATCTACACATCAGTGCAGGAAGTGTAGATGTACATGGTGTATGCACGACACTTGACACGTCTGAGGTCCCCAGGCACAGGAGTCGTGGTAGAGTAGCATAGGTGTGTGCACTGTGATACACTGATCAAAATGATGTATCACATGTGGATATGGTCATGTGACCCACTGGACCTGGATAAGAAGACCACCTGGCCACGGCGACCACTTTTTCTCGTCCCTTGAGGGGTCGCCTTGGACAGGTTTCGCTGTACTCCGGAAAATACGGTAATATTGAACATTGCCGAGTTTCGCCATGACGGTAACCCATTGGAGATTAGAGCTGCACATTCACCGCAGCAAAAGTCAGTGTTGGCGATATTGAAAAAAAGCTGGCTGGAAGTGAGGATCTGATATTGATGCTCCTGCAGTCCAGCAAGCTGGCAGCATTACAGTTGTCCTCATGTCTATTGCAGAGTACGCGCGGGTGCTTTTGACAGCGAAGCGCGTGAAGACCGTGCTCAGATTCGACGTGAATGAGACTGCCTGGGCCATCTCATGAAGATCGACGCCGAACGTCCGGACATTGAGGACTCCCCTTCCAGCAGGCAGTGACAACAAGGGGTAGCCAGTGCAACCCACAGATGAGGGTGCGAGACAATTCTTTCAATTTTGTGTGACCATGGTGCAACTGCTGAACTCTGTTCAATGATTTCATGTGCCTCTACCATCTGAGCACGTGAAAGTGGGGCTCTTTCTCCTGGAGTTGCATACTCTGGTTTATGTACTATGTTTTTATGTGGCATAGATGGGGAGTTGCACACTCTGGTTTGTGTACTCTTACCTAAACACATCCTGGCATGACATGGCCGGCGGAACCGGTCAGGCTGGTCCGGCCATGGCCGGACCACTTTCCCAGCTGGATGGTCCATGTGATTCGTGCAAAACCGGTGTAAAAAATCCAGAGCCTCGAGGTACATGATTCGACTGTATTGCCGACGTGTGATGTGCTTCGAAGTAGCTCAGGACTCCGTGACCGGCACTGTATGGCTGATATGGATAAAAAAAAGTTTTGTTTGTGTTCTTTTACTATAATTTTCTGCATTTTCTGGAGCCTTAGAGAGATGCCCAAATTCGCTCTATTTCACGTAAATTTTAAATATTTCTCCCGGGGGACGTCCCCCGGACCCCCTCAAAGGTTCGCCGGACCACTCCCAAACTCCTTCCTCCGGCCCTGCATGAGATCTTGAATTTATTACAAGCCTATTATAACAACTTACGGCCAAGTAGGGTTTCATGGTTGTTGTCGGACGGTCGGGATCCCGAACTTCCATCATTAGGTACATCCATGCACACGAGAAAAGAAATATTGCTGGGCCAACGATGGCCACCCATCTCTTCATCTTTGAAATCTGAATCTGACAATTATAACTGAAGCGCAGGAAATGCGTTCTCTATCTTGAGTTAGGCTGCTACTGTTACTGTACTGTCCAGCTGCCTTCTGGCGGCCTTGATAAGTATTGTCATATCAGCATACTGAGTATAATTGTACAAAGACGGAGCTCACATGCACAGCTTCTACAAATAATAATAATATTAGAAGTCCGAATGACGAAGCTGACGCACATGCACAGGTCACTCAAACTCAAACTCAGAGACAATCAACATCAACTCTTTGACATGTATAATTATGTAGATCTACCATGCAAGCATCGTGCATCCCGACGTCTCGCGTCTCCACGTAGCTACGTAGATCTACGGTGCAGCAAGTGCAACTGACGAGCAGAGATCAGAGAGTAGATCTACGAGACTCGTGAGTCGTGACGCGTAGATCTACCGAGTCGTGACGACATAGTGGTTGTACAGTACCAAGCAGGGAGTAGTAAAATACATGTATTTTACTACTCCCTGGTACCAAGAGTTTTTTTTTTTTTTTTTTTTTTTTTTTTTACAACCTGTACAAATTTATTTTATTTTTATTTTTTTCTTGACCCGACCCGGATCCGGACCCGGGTTGATTTCATTTTTTAAGCTGAGTAATTATTTATTATTATGTTTGGCACCTATGATCAGGGGATGGCCCACGCCTGGTAAAAAAAAGTTAACCCTCATGCCACACAAGAGAGACGAGCCTGTGGGGTGTCGCAAGCGTTTATTCCAGCATGAATAATCATGAGCCTGTGATCGGTAATCAAGTATGACGTACATGTACTCAGTATGAGGTCATGATTATTATGATGTACACATATCACGCATCAGAGAGGCAAGGACAGCAGAAGCGACCCGCGGGGTCCTGCGCCGTCGGAACGGCTACGTGTACTACTAGGTTGCTATGGCAGCGGAACACTAAATCTTAGTACACATGAATAGTTCAATGGTGCCGATGTGCGTGCACTATGCGGCGCCCATCGGCAGCATGCACCCGTGCCTCCTGCCTTTTAAATGGTGTGGGAGGGTGGGAAACAATTTCTGCGGCGGGCAGGCACAACAAACAACTGGTGAATGTCTTTACTTGTTCCTGCCTTGCGAGGGTGGCCTTGGGTGAGCTTGCACCCGAGGCGGATAGGTGGCTTATACGGCATGCCGTACGCGCATCGCGGTTGCGAATGCTTGCGTGGGGCCGGGGCCCCGCGTGGGAGCCTGGCAGTGCGTACGACTTTAGCGGAGTCGTATGAAACTTAGCCGGTTTTGGCGTGTCCGCGGACGGCATCTCCATGCGGGAGATGCGGCTCTGTGACATGTAGGTTAACTACGGTTTGCGCAACGCAAACCAACATTTAACCCTCATGCCACACAAGAGAGACGAGCCTGTGGGGTGTCGCAAGCGTTTATTCCAGCATGAATAATCATGAGCCTGTGATCGGTAATCAAGTATGACGTACATGTACTCGGTATGAGGTCATGATTATTATGATGTACACATATCACGCATCAGAGAGGCAAGGACAGCAGAAGCGACCCGCGGGGTCCTGCGCCGTCGGAACGGCTACGTGTACTACTAGGTTGCTATGGCAGCGGAACACTAAATCTTAGTACACATGAATAGTTCAATGGTGCCGATGTGCGTGCACTATGCGGCGCCCATCGGCAGCACCCGTGCCTCCAATAAAAGTACCGAGTGGCTTGCGACACGCAGGCTCTAGTAGTGCTGTGGCATGCCTGCGGGCCTGCGAATGTACGTACGATATGTCCCGCTGGACCAGCGGCCTGCAGCCGTCAGGGCATACTCTGGGGTGCCTTGATCCGCCATGTGTGTGGCTCCCCCGGCGCGTAAGGAATGGCTGCTGATGCTTGGACCTAGCACTTAAAAAAAAGTCTTTGTGTAGGACAGCATTGATGTCGTTCGGCGTGAGACGGCGACCATCCTGAAACTTGAAGAGGGGTTGCTTGTCATTGCTCCATTTGCTGGACCGAGCGTAAGCCTGCAGGGCTTGGACGGGACATAGTGCAGGGTCAGCGTAGCGATGCAGCGCTACCTCCCCGCCTGTTGTTAATTGAGACGTCTTCGTCCTCTGGAGCTGCAGAGAGGCCTCCTGCTGGGCTAGTTGGAGGTGTTCGTGCCTCAGCGTCTTGAAGCCGCCGAGACCGTGTGGTGACAGCGACGTGTACTCACTCGCACGCAGCAGGCCGTGGAAGGCTGTCGTCAGAGCAGCCCATAGTATTAGTCTGTCTGCCGGAGAGTACAAGGACAGATCCAAGAACTGGCGGAGAGCCTTCAGCTGGTGGACGGTGATCGCTTGGCGCTGATGGCGTGCTGACGGATGCCTGGGGAGCGACGCTCTCTTCCTCTCTAAGCCCGTGAGCAGGGCTGTGATGCGGCTTGAGGATGTAACCCCGACCGGGCCTCCCATGCGGAGGAGGTGGTATTTGACCGCGGCCAGGTAGATTCTCAGAGTGCTGGCGCTGACTGAGTGAGACATTGCGGCAGCGAACAGCATGACGTCGTTCTGATCTGGGTGATGTGCGTCGTGGCGCATGCGACCCATGAACTCCAGGAATGCACGCCAGCCTGGGGCGTACGTGCGCTGTGTGCCAGTGGCTATTGAGTTGGCAATCAGGTGCTCTGCTCGCGCTGAGAGAGCGGCGGCTAGCGAGCCTAGGAGGACACAGGCACAAGCGCATGCAACACAAATGCACACACGCATACGCTCCCACACGTGCACATTCCCTAAACAGGCAGCATGGCACAGCAGCCAAGCTGCGGTGTATGCATGCTGCGTCGAGTCGCCGAGCGGCGGCCCGCTTCCCGGAACACACTGGCCCGGCGGCGTGGCTGCGGATTGTAAGCAGGGGACCCGTGGGTTATGCTAGTGGGAGATCTCCCCCTGACCTCAGCGGGGCGTTCCTGTACTGGTTTGGCCGAGGTTCGCCCTTGTCCCGTGGGGCTAATGCAAATACGACCCGAGAGCCCCCTCCTCCCCAGCCCCGCGGGCTGGGAGCCTCTGCTATTGGCCTAATCCATAGATACTTAGCCTTGCGGGTGGACGCATGGAGGGGCACGTAAGCGTTGGCTTGCATAGCCGTGGCTTGCGGCGGTAAGCGATCCTCCGGCGGGAGGTGGACATCCGGCGGGATGTTATGCAAGCAGGGCTGGCGACCCTGGACAGACACACAGAACAATAGACAGCGCTAGCGGGCGGCGAAGCCTTGGCTCGGCGGAGCCGAAGCTTGCAGCGGTAGTAGTGTCTGTAAGCGATTCTCCAGCGGGAGGTGGACATCTGGCGGGATGTTATGCGAGCGGGGCTAGCGACCCTGGATAGACACACAGAACAATAGACAGCGGGCGGCGAAGCCTTGGCTCGGCGGAGTCGTAGCTTGCAGCGGTAGTGTCTGTAAGCGATCCTCCGGCAGGAGGTGGACATCCGGCGGGATGTTATGCGAGCGGGGCTGGCGACCCTGGACAGACACACAGAACAATAGACAGCGGGCGGCGAAGCATTGGCTCGGCGGAGCCGTAGCTTGCAGCGGTAGTGTCTACAAGCGATTCTCCAGCGGGAGGTGGACCTCCGGCGGGATGTTATGCGAGCGGGGCTAGCGACCCTGGATAGACACACAGAACAACAGACAGCGGGCGGCGAAGCCTTGGCTGGGCGGAGCCGTAGCTTGCAGCGGTAGTGTCTGTAAGCGATTCTCCGGCGGGAGGTGGACATCCGGCGGGATGCTATGCGAGCGGGGCTAGCGACCCTGGATAGACACACAGAACAATAGACAGCGGGCGGCGAAGCGTTGGCTCGCGGAGCCGTTGCTTGCGGCGGTGGTGTCTGCAGGCGATCCTCCGGCGGGAGGCGGACATCCGGCGGGATGTTATGCATGCGGCTTGCGATCCTGGATATATACGCAGAGCACAAGACAGCGAGCAGGTCAGGCTCGCAGAGCCGTGCCCCTAGTATACGTGCAAACATACAACCTGCTAGGTAGGCTTAACGCCCTCTACAATTTGCCTCGGTAGCACGGCAACGCGGTGCCTGGCCCTTATTTGTTTGCGCCATACGGGCCACGCGTGTCGCGTACGTATGGAGCGCCCCCGAGTACAGCGGTCGCCGGTCCGGGGCCTGCGGGGTGTCGGCCACCATTCCTCCCAAAAAAGAAAAAAGGGAGTTCTAAGGGGCCGGATAAGCCCGGTAAGCCCACAGAGTGGTAAGATAGACCATGAAGGGTTCGCCCTGGCGAGGGCATGGATAATCATTGACCGCGGAAACTGTAGGTGGGTTAGTAGGGTAGGGGAAACAAAACAACGAGAAAAGAGCAGATATGCGAGATGCTGGGTTGGGGGGACTACGGACGTACGGCGAGCCCGCGTAGTGGTGGCTGGGATTGCCGGAAGCTTGAATTGGGCGGCTGGAGCGCTTGGCCAACTGCAGACGGTTGCAACTATCCGTTGTCGGATTGCCGGGCACTTGCGAGTGATGATGGGGCAGGCTCCGCGTCGGAACCAGACGGCGGAAGCGCTGGAACTGGGCCCGGGAGAGTGCGTCTGCGATGCTGTTGTCGACGCCGGCGATGTGACGGACGAGCCGGCAGAAGTTGTGGCGAGCGGCAAGTTGCATGGTGCTGCGTATCAGGGCCATGACCCCGGCGTGTCGGCATAATGCCGGACTCCCAGGCGGTGCACCCTGCTGAATTATCGCAGTGCAAGAGGTCCAGTCTTGCGCACATGGTCTGCTATCGTGTCAATCGTGATTAGAGAGAAACGGTAGGCTTGCTTGTCAATGAACGAATTGACGCTGTTCCCCTCGAGGGCGGACAGGTGCATGATGAGCCGGTGGCCGCCCGACTTCTTGGCGACCACACCTACGCAGGGGTGCGCAGATGGACGAGTGGCGGCGCGTTGAAGGGGCCAGCGGTGTGGCCACGACTGCATTCCGTGGCCAGGTACTGGTTGACGACCTCGGGGTGTGCTGCCGCTGAAGACAAGTTCGGGCTGCGTACGGACACGTCACGGGGTCCAGTGAACCCGATACGACAGCCGGCACGTAAATTGCTAATAAGGGAAAGAACGAATGCAGGATTAGGGTGCGCCAGCAATTCAGTGTGTAATGCATCAATATTGATAGGGGTGCTGGGGTGTAATGCAGCATTGTTCATAGG